TGTGAGATTTAGTCAAAAATTTTCCTAATCTAACATTTAAATTTATTACGTTTGGATGTTTCCTATATTGATGCAAATCTAAATTTATAGAAAATATCGAAAGAGACAAAATGTCTATTCAAGCATTTAATTGATATCAATCGCATAAATTGCGAAGGCCAAAATAATCCCTTGAAAAGGTCACGAATATGCAAAAATGAAACTCGAAGAGAAGAGAATTAAATTATATATACTATAGATGATCAAGGAAAAAGAAATGCAATATAATGGGTACGGGAGGCAAAAACTTGTGACATAATTTTTCTTATATAGGGATTAATGGGATATTTAAACTAAAAAGTTATAATCGTCCATTTCCCACGTTCAAAGAAGAGTAATGCTCCTAATTTAGACAAGCGAATGAACTAACCTATTTTATAATTTCTTAAGTGAGATGTAATTCTAAATGATATGATTAACACATATAGAGGATATGGGATAATATAATAGAAAATATCATGCAGATAAAAAAAAAGATTCTAAGATAAAAATATGCATGAAAATGTAATGAATGTCACACGCAAAAAAAAGAATCTAAAGCGTGAACGATCGAAGGGTCTAGCATTGATCTAGCCCATTTCTAAAACTCTTTACTAACGTTGAACTAGCAAGTAAACTGAGAGAGAAACCACAACTAGCGTTGGACTAGTATGGTGACATCATGCATTAATAATACATAGTAAAACGAATAAGGCATAAATTAAAACAAATAAACACGTAAGAGCATGTAGCACGTAACATATAAGTATAATATTTAGATGCAAAAATCCTAAGGAAAGCGAATAAAACATATAACACATAAGCCACATAAACACACAAAACTTACCTATTGCAACGAGGAGTCTAACTACAATTTAAAATGGAGAAATATAAGAAAATAAACCTATTTATTCTATCTATTACAGCAGGGGACCTAATTACAATCTAAAGTGTGAAAAAATGATAAAATAAACCTACTGATCCTATCTATTACATTGGTTTATCTAATTACAATTTTTAAAAAATATTACCTATTCGATTACATCTTGAGGTATTTAAATACCTCCCAAATAATTATAAAATTAACTAAACAAACATAAGAAAATTTGAATGAACATTTCAATCAAATAAATAACAAAACATATAAAAGTATATAGACACATAGGAGCATATAGGAGCACATAAGAGCACATAATTGACATTTAAGCAATAATAGGGGTACCTCTCTTTTGAAGTGGCCACTAAATGGAGTCAAATTGCCCTATTTATACTCAAAATGAACAAAAGGATTATGACACCAATTTAATTGAAAATAATAATAACAATAAACATACTAAATTAATTTCATATTAATTTATCAAACATAATGAAACTTAAGGACATCTAAAAATTACAAGTTGAATACATTCAAAAGTAACATAATTAGCTATTAAAGAAAAGAAACAATTATAATAGAGAGAGTCAACAAATCACTAGGGACTAAATTGCAAAAATTAGAAAATTTTTTAGGTCAAAAATATAATTTTTCAAACATTTAGGGGTCAAAATTAAATAAAGATAAAGTTTAGGGATGAAAATGTAATTAAATTAAGGATCAAAGAGAAAAAATTTAAAAGTTTTGGGCCACAATAAAACTATTCAAAAGATAAAGGGCTAAAGAGCAAAATTCGATTCCTCATTTGGGCAAAACACCAGAAAACAAAATTGGGCCATTTATATGTGGGCCACACTACTTCGGCCCAATAAAAGAAATGTAGATCATTTGCTGATAAAAACAAAGAAAGCCCAACTAAAAACTCAACCCAGCTATTAATAAACCTATTGGACTCAACCACTCCAAGCCCAAACAAAATCCAAAAAAAAAATGACTAGCCCAAACGAAATAACAAAAAAAAAATGTTCATCAGAAAAAAAAAAAAGAAAAAGTCACCCGCCCAAGTTTTCTTCTCTTTTTTTCTTTTTTTTTTCTTTTTTTTCTTTTTCCTTTTGTTCTTCCTCCTTTTTTCTTCTTCTTCTTCTCCGGCGAAGCTGAAGCTTCAGCCGTTGCAGGCCATGGTGGCCACTGGCGACCAGTGATCGGCGGCAATCTCTCTGATCACGAAATTTTGCCAAAATACACCCCCACTCAATTTGTCACATAGAATCTGTTTTTGGACTTAATTTTTACAAAAAAAATGAACCAAAAGTGACGAAATTGCCAAAAAATAGCTGAGTTTTTATTTTTTGAAATCACTATAACCTTCACCAAAAATCATAAAATTTATATCAAAACACTCCTTGTGACTTCTACAATACAACTATGATCTTAGTTTAGCAAAAAATATAACAAAACAATGCAATAAAGCAAAACAGCCCAAAAAATGAAGGAAAATATTTCATTGCCTTTTAAGGCTCAAAAACTCCAAAATTTTCGATAACCAAACATTTTCAGAGCTTGTGCTATCTATAATAATCTGTTTTGACGAAAAATAACCATAAAAGATTCACTAATTTGGTTCATTTTTCGTTTTAACATTTTTACAAACACTTAATATGCATTCACAGGGCATCTCTCTTTTCTTAATTTTATGCATGGTTTATCCCAAAAAACTTCAACAACACCACAATAACAACAAAACCAGCGAAAGAAAGGGACAAATAAGCAACAAAACATGCATTTAATCTAATTAATTAAGAAAAGGAAAAGCTGGGAAAAAGAAAGAAAAAATACCTCAATGAAGGTTGTAATCCCTTGGCTAAAGTTTTGAGGAAATTCCAAGTTTTAATTGTCCAACCAATAGCTGCCCCATCTTCTTTTTCTTTTTTTTTTTTCTCTTTTTTTGATGTTGTGTGTGAGTGTGTTAGGAGAAAAGAGAGGGAACTGAGAGGGAGAGAGTGAGGTTTTTTGGGAAAATTAGAATGTGATATTTAGAGAGTAAGTTGGAGTCCCTTTTTTTCCTTGTGTGTGGCTTGGAAGAAAAGAAGAAGAATGGCCGAGAGCTGGGGAGTTTTTTCTTTTTGTTTGTGTTTGTGTCCTGGAAGTGTCCTGATTTGAGAGTGTGAGAGAGTGGTTGGGAGTGGGAGTGGTTCTTGTGTCGAAAAAGAAAAGGAGGGAGCCAAGAGTGGGGGAAATTAGGAAGTTCGGTTGGCCAAAAAATGATGGTTTCTTCACCAAATGGCAAGAAAGAACCATGGGATAAAATGATGGATTTTCCAAATGAAAAGAAAGGTCATTGAGAATTGAGTGTAAAAATGGGTTAATAGTGGTTTTGATAGGAGAAGATGATTAGAAAGCGTAAAATCTTCTCAAATGGGCAAATAAATGCCTAAAAATAAATGACCTCCTAAATAGATAAAATTGAAGCAAATGCCAAATATTAAAAAAATACGACAAAAATTTGGTCTAGAGTTTCGAAGAAACTCAAGACAAAGACGTAGACACCAAGTTGCTTACCTGTTTCTTCTAACTGCACCTGAACCAAAATAACAAGCTAACACTCAGCTATAATTATTGAACAAAATGATGTAAAAGACGTGACCGAACTCATGTAGAGTTGCCTACGTATCACACCATGGGAATCAGGTCAAATGTAGTTCGAATAAAAGTGAACCACAATAAAACAAGCGCATTGACCATCTGTGATCTTTGTAGAGTCAAAGAAATCTGAACTCTCAGAACTTCTAAACATAAAACACAAAATGAATGAAAAAGCACAATTGTTAATCAAAATAGTCAAGAAAACTAAGTTGTCATAATTAGAAAAAATGCGTGGAGGGATGCGGTTACGCTCAAAGAAGGGAGATAGAAGGGTGTGCGGCGGACGCTGAGACTCGTCAACAGAAAATTAAATTTGATTGTCAAGAAATGAGGTAGAAGGGTGTGTGGCGGACGCTGAGACTCACCAACAATAAATTAAATGAATGTCCTGAATCCAGGCTATTCAATGGGATTGAACTCGAGCTCAAACAACTAGTGAAAATATGAAAAATCACCTTAGAACTAGATTGTTCGGTGGGATCCAATTCAAACCCAAGCAACTAGTAAATTGGTGGGATAAAATCCGAACCCAATCAAATGATAGATTGGTAGAATAAAACCTGAACTCAATTAAATACCAGATTGGTGGGATAAGACCCGAATCCAATTAAATCACAGATTGGTAGGATAAAATTCGAATCCAATTAAATAACAGATTGGTGGGATAAAACTCAAATCCAATTAAATACCAAATTGGTGGGATAAAACCCGAACCCAATTAAATAATAGATTGGTCGGATAAAATCCGAACCCAATTAAATACCAGATTTGTGGGATAAGACCCGAACCCAATTAAATCACAAATTCGTGGGATAAAATTCGAACCCAATTAACTGATAGATTGGTGAGATAAAATTCGAACCCAATTAAATACTAAATTGGTGGGATGTGACTCGAACCTAATTAAATGACAGATTTGTGGGATAAAATTTGAACTCAATTAAATTACAAATTAGTGGGATAAGACCTGACCACAATTAAATAATAGAATGGTGGGATAAAATCTGAATCCAATTAAATGACAGATTAGTGAGATAAAACTCGAATCCAATTAAATACCAAATTGGTGGGATAAGACCTGAATCCAATTAAATGACAGATTGGTGTGATAAAATCTGAATCTAATTAAATACCAAATTGATAGAATAAGATCCAAACCTAATTAAATAACAAATTGGAGGGATAAGACTTGAACCCAGTTAAATAACAGATTAGTGGAACAAAATTCCAATCCAATTAAATACCAGAAGAAATGAAAATGTAAGTCCTGTACTATCAAATTGGAAGATTAAAATGCATGTTGTTCAAGAATAATAAACAATGACAAACTTACTTGGCGGACTTACGATCCTCTTGAGTTTTAAACTCAAAAGAAAAGAAATGATGATTTTTCTTTTCTTCTTTGGAAATAAGCAGTCAAACTTGGAGCTCAATCGTTTTACAATTTGCCCCGGTACGAATTATGCTAAACCAGTGCTGCATCATATAATTTCACCTGCAAAATGGAAAAGGAACAACTGTGATGCAAATACTGCCACCACCATGTGATCCCTTTGCCTTGAGAATCGTGTAAACTTGAATTTCAATATCGACAAATAACTCCCTTAGATTTGGTCTGCAACCCTTCCAGGATCTCTACAACTTTCTAGCATCAATTGTCCATGCTTTATTATCATAGGATCTTCAATTTCATGACTTCTTTGGCATAAATTATGGAGATTGTCTTTTGAATGAGATCTAATAAATAAGGAATATAAACTATTGAAAAAAAATATTATGCATCATGCAATGATTCGTATACGATATAAACAATAATACAGAATAAATAAATACAATAGCAAAACAAAATTATCGAATTTATGAACACAGATCCAAGGGTTAAAAGTTGGATACATATTTAGAAGATAGCCTTTGATGAAGAAAAATGCTCCATCTAACCCTTTCGACATCATCCATTTTGAAATTCATTGTCGGCAAAAGTACAACAGTATGAAAGAAATGCAAATCAACATAGTTATCAGCTTTCAGATCTCAACAACTTGTTCTCCGGTCATGATTCTCTTATATTCCACAACTCTATCTTAGCACCCTTTCGGGTTTTTATTAAGGTTACCCTCACCCATTTTTCTTCTTTCTTCTTTTTTTTTCCTCTTTTTTTCTTCTTTTGTTTTGTTTTGTTTTTTTCTTTGTTTTCTCTTTTTTTCCATTTTTTTGAAAAAAGGTGCCATTTCAGGTTTTCACCTTGAGACATAGACAAGACAATTTTAACGCCAACTGTGATGACCCCACCTTCTCCTAGGGCATACCCTAAAAGTTAGCGGATCGTCTGCCTGGCTCTCGCCAGGGCTCACTCACTTACATTAATTTCAGAGATAACATTTTGATAAACCAAAATCAAACGCTCAAATCTTTTACAATACCAAGTTCAATACCAAAGTTTCAACGATAATATAAAACTAAAGGATTTACAATCACAAAAGTCTTCACGTTAACTTCCTAAGATCCCTCGTTCGTTCCCCGACCATCAACTCCTGTAAGGAAAACAAAATTGAAGAGCTGAATGTAGGGGATTGTTTATTGTTTTGGAGGATATACACTTTACAATGATTCACTAAGCAATATTTCATAATAAGCACATTTATCACATAATTCCACTTAAGTAAAACATAAACAGTTAAACATATAAATTCGGAAACACTCACCCTAGTCAAAAGTTACACTTCGATCTTGGAATTGCTTTCTTGTACACCGCTATCTCCTGAGACAAGTTATAATTGTCATAACACTACAAGAAAAACTGCTTATAGAGGCGCATCAAAATGTCACAAGTCACGCTTTATTGAGGCACTTAATATATTGAGGCACATACTTAGTGTGCCATGTAAAACCTATGTCACAAAAGCTTTTTAAGGCACAATTAAGTGCCACGACACAGGAAACAATTCAGGCATTTAGAAGTGCCAACACAAGGTTATAATGGTTACACCAAAAAATGCCTTAATTGGGATTCAACTTTCAAGAACTCAACTTTTTAGAGGCACAAAACAATGCCATCTTAACTTTAAGTTGACACTTAAAAATGCCTTAACAGTCCGTTCTTGAGATAGTAGTATTTGTCACAAAATGGTTGTTATTGAGGCATGCAAGTATGCCACTATATAGCTTAATGTAGATACTGGCAAATGCCTCTATATCAACCTTTAAAAGTATTTTAAAATGCCTCAAAAACCTGCTGTGTAACAAGGAAATTTCTACTATGAAAAACCCTTATTGTGACACTTCCAAGTGCCTCAATAGACTGGATTTTTTTTTCTTTTTTATGCCCAGCCACAGGTACTGCTGTGAATATAACATTCCTATTGTGTCAATATAATCATACATTCATATTGGACATCTCACATTCAATGACCAAAACCAGCAATATTTGATTGAAAATCTACTTTCAAATTGTCACCATAACCAATGATTACAATTAAAGTACTTATAACTCCTGGTAGTTTTCCAACCAACCAATTAAACTTTCATCCTTGCAAAAAAAAAAACATAATATTTGTTTTAACATTCATCAAACAGCTAGAATGTCCTACTAATTGTTTGCCACGATTTCACCTAAATAGCACCATATAAATTAAAATCAACTAAACCGCTAGTAGACCAACTTCTTGTAATATGTGCAGCAACACTTTGTCCTTTTACAGTTAGAGCACTTCCATATAAGTGGATAAGTATCCATATGCTGCAACACCTTGTCCACTTTTGAATTTCAGCACATCAATCTTCGCAAATTTTTACCTATAGCATAAGTATATTATGTATTAAAATCTATCGTAATTATCGAATGAAACAAACATCTGAGATATTAACAGTTAACATAATTTGAAAGCTAGAAAAGGAAAAACATACTAGTTTTGTTGGCCAAGCTATAGGAGCACCAATTGAATCAGCAATTGTCTGCAAAGGCACATAAGGCCTAATCAAATGCTCATCACGTTCAACCACAACTTGAACTAGTACTTCACACCAATTCGAACCTAGTGGTTGGCCCCCAACTATTGTAGAAGGATCAAGGGATTGAAGTCGTCCAATTGCCACAACTTTTGTTGGCTCATCTAAGCTAAAAAGAGAAATCCAGTCTCCCTCCTACATGAAAATGCAAAACTCGAAACATCAGAAAACTAACCATATGCAAAGCAGTCACATCAAAATTCCAGTCCATGTTGTGTAGTAAGTAACATTATAGTAAGAAAACTATGAATCATACTTCTACAAAAGTCCACAACTACTCAAGAGTAACATGTAAAAAATATACAAAATAACTAAACTAAAATTGCTTTCAAATTGTAATAACAAAACATATCTACATGGTCGGACCATTTCAAGGAAATCCCTTTAAAGCAAAACAGCAAAAGTGTTACTAATGTTGATACAGCCAGTAGCGCATATCAAATGTCTATCGAATAGCCTTTGGGATACTCAGTTAGCATATTTCCAGCAACTTTACGCTTCAGTCAGATTGGAGAAATTAAAAGCTTGAACATTACAGTTCAAGTAATAAACACAACATCTCTTAATGTAATCTTTGGTCAGCATGATCTTAGTAATCTTTGGTCATTCATGCAAAGAGTAACATGAGATAAATATAAAAATAAATAAACTAAAATTGCTTTCATATTGTAATACCAAAACATGCCTAAATATCAGATCATTATCAAGCAAAGAGGACTGGCCTTACCAAACAAATGTATTAAAGAACTTACTTTAAGAGGTCTAAGACTGGAACTTGAGGTTGAGATATGATTAGATGATGTTGAAGTGATTCTTGATTGATTCAGCAAGTTATGACCATTTTGTTGCTCTAAATAAGCTTTCAGGTTAGCAAGTTCTCTTGCTTGATCTTTAATTTGTTCCTCTTGCTGAGCAAATTTTGCCTTCATCTCTAATATTTCATGTTTTTGATCCAACACTAGTCGCTGAGATCCACTTCGACTAGGTTCATCACCCCACACATCAGTTGGACATATACCAAAACCATACATCCGTACATGCCCATGCTTGTCTTGCCCAACTACTTGTGCAAATACATCATTTTTTCCAATAGAATCTTCAGTATCAGGAGGCAATTGACTAACCTTGTCATTCATTGCAAGCTGCAAAAGTGTAAAGAGTAAGACAATGATTACATTTGTGCAAAAGTGTAAGCATAATGAAAGATTTTACTTACCATAATATTAGCTGCTGCACTACTAGATGGGTTTCCTTTGTTATCAGTGTAGCAGTGATTGAACATTTCAACTCGTGAAGGATTGCGGCCTAAGTTTTTCTTCTGTATCAAAAAGAATTTTTGTTTAAACAAATTGAAATAATATTAAATAAAGCATAATAGAATAGCTAGAAATGTTTACCATGTTTGCTCGAATCTGGGCAAATGATTTCTTCCCGGTATTATGATTCGTGGTCTTCATTGCCCTTGCTTTTTTATTTTTTTCACTAATTTTCTATGTCACATACAAATAATTTAGAAATAACTCTAAAATACTGATATACTATTACATAAAGGGAATATACATATACCTTTGTTTCTTCTAACTCCCAATAATCAGCAATGACTTTATATTGATCTTTTACCACTCTCACATCTAAATTGAGCATTTGAGTTTCAACTTGTATATTTGGCTTGTAGTATGTTGCTTTAATCCATGCCTTCCAATTTCTCCAATACTTGCCCAAAGCACGAAGAATCCAAATTTTTGCACTGGGAGGGACATCAAATTTTTCCTACAATATATTTCATGTGCTTAGATTCCACCCATCATATCATAAATAACTAACAAATATTGATACAAGTATTAACAGATTTAAGCTTATTACCTTGACAATCTTTAACATGTCTTTCTTCCGAGAATTGTCAATTTTTCGCCAATCTTGGACGTCAATTGGGGCATATGAACCATTTCTTGATATTGTACCCAAGAACTCTGTAAATCTTGATTTATGTTTGCCCACTGGTTTGCCAAGTTTGTTGAATTTAACTTTATAACGATGCGATGTGGGCTGACCCCAAACACTTGTCATATATGTTGGCCCTCGTGTTTTTTTTACCTCCACATCACCATCAGTCTCATCATCTAAAAAAATAAGAACAATATTTATTAGTGTATATGCAATAATATACTTAAAAATCTCAAATGCTCTTGCTAATACCTATGTTCTGAAGCTCTTCCACTCTTATAGACTGGTTTTCCATATGCTCATCAATTGGTTCATCAATAAGTCGGCTGCTGCTGGAATTTCTTCGTTTCTTAGTCCTAGCCATGTCTGAACAACAAACTCAATTCATGTAACATTTAGTCAATTTAATAAAGTTAATAAACTACAACTAAAATTCAGCACATTCAATGTAAAAATGAAACTTCAGCAATTAAGAAGAAATAAATAAATAACTAAACAACATTACTAGCTAACATAAGATGCAACTTGTTCCAAAATTATAACATGGTACATCAATATTAGGCATAGCCAGAGATAATTTGATAAGTCTACATGCAACAAATTAATAAAACATAGAATCTACAGTGGAAGCATATCATGAATTTGGCCTAATTGGAATCAATTCGACTCCTTGAACATCATCACGGATGTAGCTAACATGTCCATTGTCATCTTCCAACTGTATGTTTGAAATTGGACTTTGCAAGTACATGTCCACATCACCCACATGATCCATGTTGTACTCAGCTCTTGGTCTTGTGGTGATAACAACATGCCACCCATTTTCAAGGGGATCTTCCACATAAAATACTTGTGATGCTTGAACAGCAAGAATATAAGGTTCATTGTGCCGCTTTACATTCGAAAAGTTCGCTAACATGAACCCATCCTCATCTTGCTTTAGCCTTTTTCCTTTGGAGACCCAATCACATTCAAATAACAACACTTTTCGACCTTCTCTGTAGTCTAACTCAATGATGTTACTCAAAATTCCATAATAATCCAAATCACTCAAAATTGGATTATTATCTTTTGCACTTGCAAAACTCGAGGTTGTGGCATTAACCATGACTCCACTATTTTGTGTTTTTCTTTTTTTCTCCAACTCTCTTGTATGAAATCGAAAACCATTGACAAGCAGTCCTTTGTATTGTATCCCAACAATATTTGGACCCTTAGCAAGCTGCTTCAAATCCATAAGTAATGTATCTCCCTTGCATTCTATACTGTGCTCAATCTGTATTACATATAAGAACATTAGAGACAAATTTGTAGTACAAAAACAGCTAATAAATAGCAATGTTTAATAACATACATGATTGGCAAACCAAGATGCAAAATTCTCACTATGCATGAGTTCAATAACATGTTTTTCAGCTCGGGGATTCCTTTCTTGAATCAATTGATAATGCTGGCTGCAATTACAATATTCAATGAGCTCTAGATAACTTTGAATAGGACATTTTTGAAATATTATTTACTTACTTGATATAGGGATTGACATGGTCACAATTGAATAGGACATATTGATGTGCTTTTCTCAAAATCTCATCACTGAATTTAGTGGGAATTCCTTTGCCTAATGGACGAGTTGACATTGAGAACAAATCTAGTCCACTTGAAGAACTTTTAGCGACATCTTCATTTCTGTTTGATCGATTCAATTTTGTCTCCACATAATCAGCCAAGAAAAATGAACAAAATGTCAAGCACTCTTCTGCTATATACCCTTCAGCAATGCAACCTTCTGGTCGACTTTTGTTTCGAACATAAGACTTCAAGTTGCCCAAGTACCTTAGAAGAAATATGATATCATAAAACTTCAAGGTGCCCAAATAAATAAAAAAATATTAAGATTATTAATTTAATTCAGAACACATACCTTTCAATAGGATACATCCAGCGATAATGGACTGGCCCTCCAATTTTTGCCTCGGTGGCCAAATGGATAGATAAATGCACCATGATAACAAAAAAAGATGGTGGAAAGATTCTCTCGAGTTGACAAAGTATAATAGCAATCTCCTTCTCCATGTGGACTAAATCTTCAGCACAAAGGACTTTAGAGCACAACTTTCGAAAGTACCTACTCAATTTAATCAATGGAGAGCGGACTGCCTTCGATAATGTTTTTCTCAAAGCTATTGGCAACAACTGCTGCATCAAAATATGGTTATCATGGCTCTTAAGTCCATAAATTTTGGGCGGCTTCAGTTTCACACTTCTGGATATATTAGCTGCATACCCGTCCGGTACCTTCACTTTTTTTAGCACTTTACAAAAAATTTCTTTTTCCTTCCTGTCCATTGTAAAGCAGGCTGGAGGCAAATAAAATCTACCATTTTCTTTCTCAACTGGATGAAGTTCCGGCCTTATACCCATGTCACGTAAATCACAACGTGCAGTATAATCATCCTTATTTTTATCCAGATTCAACAATGTCCCAACAATGCAATCACAAATATTCTTTTCAATATGCATGACATCCAAATTATGACGAATTAAATTATCTTTCCAATAAGGAAGATCAAAGAAAATGCTCAACTTTTTCCAACTGAATGGCAATGTTGGATTATCATCAACTAATTTTCCAAATCTGATTTGAAAATTTTTCAATTCAGATAAAATTGTAGACCCCATCAATTTTTCAGGAGCTCTCCCATGTTCTTCCTTTCCATTAAAAGCTCGAGAATTCTTCCTAAAAGTATGAGTCGGATCCAAATATTTTCTATGGCCCATATAACAATCCTTATGCCTTAACCGTTCCGAAGTTGTGTGTTTATGACAAACAGGGCATGCATATTTTCCTTTAGTACTCCAACCGGATAAAACTGCATAGCCAGGAAAATCACTGATAGTCCATAATAATGCTGCTCTTAATTGAAAGTTTTGTTTGCAAGATGCATCATATGTATTGATCCCCATCTCCCACAATTCTTTCAATTCTTTGATTAGAGGTTGTAAATATACATCAATATCATTACCAGGAGCATGTGGACCTGGTATCAACAATGACAACATTAAATATGGCTGTTTCATACACATCCAAGGCGGTAAATTATAAGGTATCAAAATCACCGGCCATGTACTATGAGTGGAGCTCATATTTTTGAATGGATTAAATCCATCGGAAGCCAATCCCAACCTAACATTACGAGGATCCTTAGAAAAATCTGTATGCTGATAATCGAAAGTTTTCCAAGCTGGGGAATCAGCAGGGTGTCTCATATAACCATCCTTAGTACGACCCTCCGAGTGCCATCTCATATGCTTTGCAGTTTTAGATGACATAAATAAACGTTGCAACCTAGGTTTTAGTGGAAAATGCCATAAAACCTTACGTGCGACTTTTCTTTTCTCACCGGATGGATCATTTTCTGATGCTTCCCATCTAAGTTCTTTGCATGTTTCACAACAAGTTCTTTTTGCATTTACCCCCCAATACAAAGTGCAGTCATTAGGACAAGCATCATACTTTTCATATCCAAGTCCTAATTCTTTCATTAATTTTTCAGACTCATAGTAAGATTTAGGCAATTTTTCCATGGCTTCAGGAAATGCTTCTCTTAACAAATCAAGAAGCATATCAAAGATTTTGTTACTCCATTTACCCAGACACTTCAAGTGAAGCAAGCGAAATATGAACGAAAGCTTGAAAAATTTTTTACAACCAGGGTAGAGTTCTTGTTGAGAATCATCAATTAACTTATAAAACTTTTCAGCAACTGAATTCGGTAGTTCCTGATTAGATTCAAATGTACCAGCCATAGCAGGATCTTGTTGAGGTATTCCTAAGGCTTCATGAACTAGACCATTCATGTCATCACCTATATCAGATATGTTATGAGGAACATTGTCTGAGGTCTGTATCGGTGCAGAAGAGTATACAAATTCCCCGTGAGCTACCCACTGTGTGTATCCCTTAAGAAATCCAAACACCTTCAAATGAATTTTTGCATCTGCCCTAGACACACATACTCCACATTTACATTCTGAACATGGACAAGCAATCATTCCATTCCCATGACTTGAATGCTTAAATGCATAGTTTAAGAATAATTCCAAACCCTTTTCAAATTCACCACTTCTTCTATCTTTCCACATCCAACTCTTATCCATATTTTTAGAGTTATCAAATATTTACTCATCAAACAACATAAAGGAGTGTTAATGAGTGAGTACCTGAAATAATGCATTTTATATGAGATAACAGCTAAAATAACCAATAATTTTGTAATTTATTGCAAGATAGATTAAATTAGGCTTAAATACTCAATTTCATATCAGCAAACCTTTGTAATGTATGAGCACTTTTAATAGCAAAATTCAAACAATAAATTACCAACTGCTATATTCAAAAACAAATTAGAACAAGATTAATCAGGCATGTGAACGTATAAAATTAGACCAATAAAGGAATGTACCTGCTCAAGAGAGCCAAAGTCTAGCACTTTTCGTCTGTCAAATACTTACTAGCAAATATAAACCTGTCCAAAATAAAGTAAAAGCAACTACCTTGAGTAAATTTTAAAACAGGACCTATTGCATTTTTACACCAATTGCTTAAGCTTTCAACAAATTATAATAGAGGTCTTAATTACGGTTTAGAAAAGAGGAAAATAGAAAGAAATTGAAAAAAGTAAAAGAAAATACTAGCAATTACTTCTCCCCGTTCTCCTTTAGGATTCTTTAGATTGATTAATCCATTTCTTAGGTCGATTTAATCAAACAAATACAGAATTTAAAAAATTCATTGCATCTATTGCCTTGGCTATTATTTCATATGTTTAACGGTGCTGCAACTAGGCAAAACATTGAACTTCCATGGCATCCAAGTCCTAAGAGAAGTGACAATCCACATAGTTCCAAGGAACCAAAAGGGTACAATCAGATCAGGTATGTCCTAAAATCATCCAGTGTGATAGAACGCGAATATGCATATAAGGCGGATGATAGAATAAACAGCCTCTCTCTCTCTCTCTATAGTAATCAATTGCCTGCAGATACGTGCTTCCAAATAATAGAAAGACACAAAAATGATCTAAGAAAGCATCAAGGAAGCCAAAGAAAAGAGCAAACTTGTTAGTCCAGTCCCTGCAATCTTGCCTACACCGTTATCTTTTCCACCAGATTGCGCTGCAATTACAGAAACAATAATGTCACTTAAACTGTAACGGCCGGCACAGTCACTGGGGTAGCCGTGAATGCAAAATTGTAAAAAGAAAACAAAGGAACGGATTGCGCTAGGAGAGACTAATCAAACAGGAGTATTTGTCCACATGTCAATCACCATTCCCTGTTTCCAGACTCTTCATGACTTTTTCACGTACCCAATAATAAAAAAAGATAGGAAAGATGATACTGATAAGTTCAAGCATGCTACAAATTTGCTTTTCAGTACTTCATGATTCATATTCTGTCAATGACAAGTAAAGTAACAAGCTCCTGAGCTTTTTTGGGAACATGTAAATTACAACACCTTTCTTGATCACGAGACAATGAATTTCCTGGAATACTGCCTCTGTTAATTTTTAGCTTGTATTGTCATCAAATGTTCCATAGCTTGTGCGCAAGGTAGCTAACATTAACAGGCTGTTAATGTCATCAAGTTTTTCACTTGTCAAACCAGTTCTTATTGGCTGTTTTATCGGGCATCAGTTTTTGCACCATTAACAGAGTCACAGGTATTGACATGTTATTGGAGGAAAGCAGTAGCAGTAAATCAACGCCAAAACATGATTTATAAGATTCAGTCCTGTCTAAGCAATAACTATTATGTGTGTTTCACCTGGTAATTTCTTATCTAAACAATATGAGACCCCTTTTCTTTCCCCCTGTGCTGGCCAAAACATACCCAAAAAGAAAATGCGAAGGAGGCCGCCAATGCCTGCCAAATCACTGCCGCACGGATGAAAGTTTTTTTATGTGTGTGTGTGTGTGTATATATATATATACAACAAAAAGCAGTCGCAGCTATATTACAATTGCCTGTTTAGTCTTTTTCCTTCTTTCATTTTCCGTGAAGGGAAGACTATCAATAAGCCCAACTGAAGAAGGGAAGACTATCAAACATTTTTCAATTTCCACACTGCAAACTGGCACTTTTAAGTTTTAACAGCGGGCATAACTTATTAAAGAGCAGGACCCAAATTTAACCCAAAAAAAAAGAGAGCTGTACCATATCAATAATTTAACCGATATGCATTGAAGATTCCCAAAATCAATAATTTTAGAATTAATGAGTATATAAACATACCTCTAATTTCAAACACAATAGAGTAAGTGATGATAGTCCTACAATCCTTCAATCGACACAACATGCAATCCACAAAATTAGGAGCAACTTCATGAGATTGAATTAGGATCCACCATAATCAACATGAATATGAGAAATCAAAAGAAAAGAGATTGGGAGGATAGAGAGCTAGTGAGAGTCGGCAATGATTTTTGGGAAAATTTGAGGGAAGAGGACCGAGAGAGAGTGAGTGCGGGAAAGAGATGGGTCAATGAAAAATGAAAGTTTTGGAGATGGTAGATTGGTAGAGGATCGAGAGGGAGAGTGAGGGAGAAAGACCGGCGTTTGTGATTTGGGATTTGGGCCAATTTTGCCGGTGCTCTTAGGCGCCAATTTGGAGCATTTTCTGTTTTTTCATGAAACAATTTGCCGCTTCTTTTCATGGATAATTTGGGATTGTTTTTCCTTCTATAGCTGTTGAGGCACATCTCTAAAATGCCTCTACAAATATTTTCTTTATATTCTTTTATTTTCAGTTTTTCTTATAAGATTTGTCTTCTATACATTGTCTTTTTTTATTTAATTAATAAGTGTTAGTATGGCAAAAACTATCTAATGCCTTAATAAGTATTTATTTGAGGCATTTACTTAATAGTGCCCTAACAAGTATGCCATAATAGGGAAATTTTCTTGTAGTGTAATTATTTAACTACTCATTTGGCGAAGTTCTAAAATATAATCAACATAATTGCTATTTTCTAGCCTCAAGTCACTATTCCACCCGAATTCTAAGTCATTGCTATGTTTAAATGAGGCGACTAGTGCATTTTCTCACATTTACTCATCACTTCGACTTTTAATTTCCAAAAGAAAGGAAGTTTAAGTAGCAATTCCAGTAATGTCACTTCACTACTTTTATGCTTTTAGATTTAACGTACTAAAACTCAACATTATCTTTTAACAAGGTAAGTTTTAGAAGTAACTACCTTTAAGGTATTTCCTTGTCCCAAAAATCTGTTTTTATTAATTAAGACCATGAGCTAACTAGTTTATTACCCTAAGGTGAATATACAATTCGTATATAGCTACTTATCACTTACCAATTTAAGGTTTAAATTACTAAAAACCAAGTTCCTTGGCTTATAAAACAAGGTACAAAATTCCAGCAATCCTTCTTACATCTTTCTTCAAGATTTAGCAATGTTATTAGCTCAAAATAATGGAAAATATACATACATACCAAATTTAAGGTCTCATAAGATGTTTGAGCTAAGTTTGTATCATTCTCAATCCAAACTTTTAAAGTTATAGCTGATAAAAACTTTTATTCATGATCTTTTTTTTTTTTTTTTATAAAACTACGATTTTATTAAAATCAAGAAAATCAAAAAATACAAGCTTCAGTGGGAAATAGCTCGAGTACGAATCGTAGGAGTCTGCGACCTATCTAAACGTAAGGCCCCCCTTGCCACCCTTGGCAACTCAGACTGTGTCGTATACAAGATAACACCCTCAGCATGGGCCCCAACCTTGGCTAAGGCATCCGCCACTTGATTCATTTCCCGATAACAATGCCCCACCGTCCATTCCAAGCCCTGGACTGCCCGTAACGATTCCAGATCCGACCGAACTGACTACGGACACCTGAATTGTCTCACCAGTAGGTTTACTAACACAAGAGAATCCACCTCCACCCGAATCCGCGAGAAACCCCGAAGACGACATTGTTGCACCCCAAACACCAAAGCCTTGATCTCCGCTTGCAGACAAGTAAGTTCCCCAAACGGAACAGCAAAACCAAACAACAACGTACCAGACGAGTCCCTAAGCACACCACCCCCGCCACTAACGCCTGGATTGCCAAGCGAGCACCCATCCGTATTTAGCTTGAAAGCTCCCTGGACTGGAAACTCCCAACAAACCACTCTATGGGAATACCGAGGCCTCCATCTCGAAAAAATGGAGAGGACCGCCGACCAGCAGCCAACCCCAATAAACTCTCCTGCAAACTTCCTGGAAAATAACCCTACGACATCTGCCAAGATGCGGTCACAAATGGTCTGTCGACGCAGACGCTGCCCATCAAAGATTGCAAGATTCCGAGCCAACCAAATATGCCAGCAAATAATGCACGGCAAGACCAAATATAAAGATTCCATACGAGATTGCCGAACGGGTTGGCACCACCAAGCCGCCAAACGCGACCGCACCCCCAGACCTCTATAGATCACTCCAGCGCTATTCCCAAAAAAGGTTCACAAGAAATGAGCTAACTCACCGTCCGCAAAGACATGATCCAACGTCTCAGATTGCGAGGCCAGGCAACAAAAACACTTGGAAGGGCCATACACTTGCAATCTTCCTAGGGACGATGCCAACGGTAAACGATCCCGCAGCAATCTTACCATGAAGAATGAAATCTTGATTGGAATTACAGGATGCCAAACCCTCTCAAACATGAAAGATGAGGGGGTCTGACTACCAAGCAGCTCATATGTGGAAGAAATGGAAAAATCTCCTGACTCTGTCAAGGCCCACACCGCACGATCGTCCGCGGATCCCACTGGGGCAACTTTAGTAACTATCTCTGATACTATGTCATCAGGAACCCAAAGCCGTAACAACTGTTGATTCCACCTGCCATTCAAAACAAAATCCCTAACTAAATGATCAGAAACACTTTGTAACCGTTGACACAGAGGGCCAGAACCCATCCAATTGTCAAACCAGAAATTACACTGTCCCGCTTGCATCTCCCACCAAAGATTTTGCTCCGCAACCTCACGAATTTGCAGCAAACGCCTCCACATATAGGAACTGCCCTGACCCGCCTCTACCATGCATGGATGATTCTGCCGACAATACTTGGCTCTCATGAATGACGCCCATAAACACTCTCCCGTACGGAAACGCCACCATAATTTGAATGAGAATGCTGTATGAACATCCAGAAGCGAGCGAACACCAACCCCGCCCTGTGACGATTCGGCACACAGGTCAGCCCATTTAATCCAATGATGTCGGAGGCCACCTTCCCGCTCCCCCCAGAGAAAGTTTGCCATAGCCCGTTCAACTAAAGCAAGAACTCCCTTCGGAGGGCATGAAGCTGCCAATAAATGAGTTGGAATTGCTGAAAGCACGTGTTTGATGAGTACAATCCGACCCCCATTGGATAGAAATTTGGACCTCCATGAAGAAACTTTAGAAATAACTGACTGTACCAGCTCCATGAAGTATAGGCACTTCCGGCGCCCCACAAAAAGCGGACACCCCAAGTAACGCACGGGAAACGACTTCAGCCCAAATCCAGTTGCCCGCCGAATTCGTGCCACACATTGACTAGGCAGTTTAGCATGCACCATGAACCCGCACTTTTGAACATTAATCTCCTGCCCCAAAACTGCTTCATAATTCTCAATAACCTGCATAACACATCTCAGTGAAGCGGATGAAGCACCTGTAAAAACCAGGACGTCGTCTGCATAACTGAGATGCGTGATCCTAGGACAGCCCCGCGGAACTGAAAAGCACTTGAACTCCCGATGCTCCACTAACTGGTTCAAAGAGCGGGACAGCACCTCCGCGCCAATAATAAATAGACCTGGGGATAACGGATCCCCTTGACAAAGCCCTCGCGTAGACTTAAAGAAACCCACACTGGCCCCGTTGATTAGGACCGAGAACCATACATTCGAGACCAATCTCCAAATCCTATCAATCCATTGCTCCCTAAAGCCAAATCTCCTCAAAACCGTTGTCAAAAAAATCCAGGAAACGCGGTCATAAGCCTTTGACATATCCAATTTCAGAGCTACATCGGCATTTCTGGAGGTCCTCCCTATATTAGAGATCAGCTCTTGTGCCAGCAAGAAATTATCCGATATAAGCCGCCCACGAACAAAACCACTCTGCTGTGGGGAAATAATCCTTGGCAGGACTCGGGCTAAACGGTCAGCCAAAATTCGCGAAATCAACTTGTTAATAAAGTTACACAAGCTAATCGGGCGAAACTGAGAAAAATCCTGTGGATGCCCCACCTTAGGAATGAGTGCAATGGAAGTCGCTGTAATAGCCCGAGGCAACTCCGCCCCACAGAAAAAACTGCACACTGCGCTAACAACATCCGCACCGACAACTGATCATGCAACCGTAAAGAACTTACCCGTATATCCATCCGGCCCTGGTGCACTCTCCCCATCCATCGTAAAAACCGCATTTCGAATCTCCACCTCAGAGGGAAACTGCTCCAGCAAATCATTCTCCTCATCAGTCAAAATTGCTGGGATATGCTGAAGCAAATCAGAGGAAGATGCTGGACGCTGATCCGTAAACAACCCCTCGAAATACCGTATCGCCTCTGCTCCAATCCCATCATCCGACTCCACCCACTCCCCTTGGCCATTTCTAATCCTGTGAATGACCGAACGTACCCTTCTATTTTTGACAACAGAATGAAAGAACTTTGTATTTCGATCTCCCTCCTGAAGCCACCTAACCCGAGCCTTCTGCTTCCAGAATAACTCCTCCACTCTCATGGCCGCTCGCAACTGGCCTTTGGCAAGATGTAAATGTACCCTAGCAGCATCTGAATCATCGCTTTCTACACGGACCTCTGCCAACCGCACCTCCTCTTCCTTTTGCCTAACAGTCTGGAAAATATCCCCAAAAACCCTCCTACTCCACTCCCGTATAGAACCCCTCAACCGCTTTAATTTGCAATAGAGAACTTGCAGAGGGGGTCCACCGCACGGTTGTTCCCAAGACTCCTGAACCATAGGCATGAAGTCCTCATGCCCCGTCCAGACATTAAGGAACCTGAACGACTTCGGCTTAGTATCCAATCTGGTTGACACTGAAAGAAGGAGCGGAGCATGATCTGACGATTCCCGGGCTAGGTGCGACACCGCCAAAGACATCCCCGTGTCAGAATAGCCCTCATTCACCAAAACCCGATCCAATCTCTTCCAGATTCTTGCCCTGCCATGTCTATTGTTACACCAGGTAAACTGAGCCCCAGAAAAACCAACATCCGAGAGATTGGCCTCATTAATAAACTGTCTAAACTCCATAGCTTCACCAGGATTAAAAGCCCGACCCCCTTTCTTTTCCCCAGCGTCTAAAATCACATTAAAATCCCCACCTACAAGCCATGCAGCGGAACCCGGATTATCCCGCAATAAGCCCTCCCATAGCTCACACCTCTCCCCAGGAGTACATCGTGCATGCACAAAAGAAACAACCAGTTGGGAACCCGGCACATGATCGTGAGAAAGTCGCACTGACACATGCTGGGGACTCTCTCCAACCACCAAACCTGAAAAAGGCTCTTGGAAAAAAACCCAGATCGACCCCCCCACATTATGCACCACTCCATGAAAGCCTAATTTATGTCTATACCGTTCAACTTTATCAACCTCCAACCAAGGTTCACAAAAAGCCAAAAATTGGAGATTATGCATTTGAATCAAATTTTTAATCCTTCTCAATTTCGGTGCTTTAGAAATGCCCCGAACATTCCAAAATAAACCTTTAATCATTGGATAAAGTAGGAAGGGAATTCTGCGAATTTATCAATTTAGAACGTAATTGCCTATCAGAGGGAAAATATGCACGTTTACCTTTTTGTTTGTTCCTCAAAGCCGCCACCGAAGTGTCAATAACTCCAACTGTTGACACTATAGTTGCATCCTGGGTTCGCTCCAGCTCCATAGCTCGTGGGGATAAGGAGCCCACTGAAAGAGCCTCCTCCTCACTGCTGGACTCCACCGCCTGAGCTCCCACAAGTTGAACAGTTCGCGTCTCAACATCATCTGGGTTGCTCCCCTCCACACCATCCCCTCGCACCTCAGAAGCATGTGGGAGGATAATCACCAAGCTACCACCCATTTCTACCACACCCTGCTGCTCCTGCTGCAACCCCACGGCCTGCACTCCTTCGCAACCGACTTGCTGCGCATCATCGACAACTGTGGACGCCTGCCCCATATCCTGCTCCATCCCCTCATCCTCCAAAACTTTCACAGGGCCAGAAGTAGTATCAACCTCCACTTCGATCTCCCCCACCTGCTGCCCAGCCGCTACTTTCTCCGGCACCTCCAATACCACCTCTCTGGAAGTTGCCGCCCCATGTCCCTGTAGCAGCAACTGCTTCTGGACTGGAGCCAACAGCCCATCTGCTACCCCTGCAGGCAGACCAGGCTCACCCTGCTTAGCATTATCCTTATCCATGACAGGCGCAGACACCTCCTGAAGTTTCAAGGAAGCCCGCCCCACCTTCACAGGCCGCAGGGAAGGATCCCTCCGAAAACAACTTTCCTGCTGATGACCGAACTTGGAACAGAAAGAGCAATAAGGCGGAACGTTTTCAAATTCCACGGGCTACCAAAATCCATAATCCTCATCTCCAATCCAAACGCGTTTAGCAAGAGGCAGAGAGATATCTACCTCTACCAACACTCGCGCAGCAGAGGGCCGACGAAGATCACCGGTTGCCGCATCCAACTTGAGAGGGTGCCCCAACGTAGAGGCTAACTGCATCAACTGATTTCTTTGGAAAAAAGGAATAGGCAGACCTGGAAAACTTATCCAAACTGGAGCAATTGAGAGCTCTTGACCAGACCTGAAGTTGATGCTCCACTTCGAGATCGACATTGGTGCCTTACCTATAAACCAGACCCTGCGAGCAAACAAGCGAGAATAATCATTGTCCACCAGAGGTCTAATCAGCACGTGCTTCTCGTCCAGGAGGCCCACCGAGCAATGTCCTTTGAGCCCCAACGTCACAAAGAATTTCCGTATAGCCTCCATGGAAGGTCTGCCCGCACTGAATCTCCCTACCAGAGCATGGTGGAAGGGAGCAGCCAAACTCTCAATCTCCTGGCGAGAGATACGAAGAGAAGGCTCACCTCTGAATGTTGAGACAACACCCAGCGTAACCCCATCCTCATCATTGGAACGACCAACCACTGCCGCAAACGAAGGTGCCACAAACTTCTGGCCGCCACGCTCCGGCGGCTTCGCCGCCGCAGCCGCCATCAGGAACAAAACAAAGCCTAGCCGCAAGGGTTTCCTAATATGTCGGAACTATAATCCACTTGTGTTGCCTTATACTTTTGTTTAACGTTGACTTGAGCTGAATAGCCGACCACAAAGTGAAAACCACATCCACATCAGAAACAACACTACGTACCACTACCTTATTCATGATCATTCATTCATCATTTTCCTTTCGGCCAAACCAATTTTCAATTAGGTTGAAGCTTAACTTTTCTCCTAATTCACCAGCTTCTCAAGTCCCAGAATTACTAAAATGATCAGGAATAAACAGGGTCAAAGTGTTATTAGTCGTTTTACACAAAATTTATAACCAAGAACATAACCTCCTAATTCTCTCAACCAGCACACTTGTTTCTAGCAACATTACCACAGAATTTCACATCAAAGTTCCCCTTTTACTTGCTTAAAACAGTAAACACTCAGCTTATACTCTGTCCAACCTAACTAAAGCAATTAACATACAATTTCAGCGGCAATTTCACCAAGTAACTACAACTAATTCTGTCATCCGCTACAAGTAAAAAGTTCAACAATTCGGTAGTTCAAGCATGAAACTGTTTCCTTACTTTTCTTCATTTTCCTCACTCCAAACTTAACATGCAGAGAGCAACTAACATACCACAAAGTATTTTAAGCTGGAATATAAAGTTTTCAGCCAAGGAATCAAAGAGAAAGCTGGATAAAATTCTATTTCCCTCTCTCGGCCATGTTGGAAAAATTTTAACAGCAATCAGCTTTTAAACAAGAAATTTCTCCATTAATCTCTTCGTTACACACTCAAATCTAACATGCATGTTAAAACTAAAGTATTATGCAATGAATTAAGCCTTAATGTAGAAGTGTGGAATCAGAATCCACAAAGAATCCTAGAAAAATCCTTTATTCCTTCTCTCGCTGAAGCTGGAAATTCCAGCGGCTTCTCTCAACATTTCCAGCTCAAACTTCCAACTTTTCACAAGTTTTCCAGCTAAACCTCTTATAAACTTAAGATAAATATATATTGCATGCATTTCTTGACATTATTCTCCAAAGAAATATTGATAGCAAGCTGCAATTTCCAATCTTCACTCTCGGTTTCTGCAGTTTTCCTTTCCAATAGCTTTCGGTTGCTGCACAGAATTTTCCCTCTGCCACGAACTCATTTTTCCTAGCTAAATCCACATGCTGCTTCTATATACATTCAGTTATACTAAATAAGTGAGTGGTTGTTACAAAATTTTACCTCTTTTCCTTAGAATTCGGTAGTTGTAGCCTGCACTATTTTTGCTTCGGTTCCTCAAGTTTTCCTTTCACCAAGTCACCCCTTTCTCCTACCTTGCTTCATCCTTTTCCTCGGCTGATGCTAGTAGATGGTGTGGTTTGCACAATTTCTCTCCCTACCACTCTCATTTGCTCTCGGTTTGGTGTTTAGATGAAGAAAAGCTTAGTCCCCTGCTGAGGTTCCTCTCCTTTCTCCGCTCGGCGGTGTTAGCTTGAAAAAAAATGCAGAATGCTCTCTTTTCTTTCGGTTCCCACTCAAACTATCAGATATCCATTAAGTTGCATGGTAGATTGTCCAACTCTTAAGGTTAAAAGAGTCATTTAGCATTAGTTTATTTACTCTCTAAGGGTTTGTGTTTTTATCATCTTCATATTTGCCTCAAACTTTTATCTTATGTCCCAGTTAGACAAGTTAATTACATTTATTAAGCTACAAAGTAGCCTTGTATAGAACGTGGAAAATTTACAATCAACTCAAAGGAAAGACTGATCTGAATCTTCCTCACTCTCGGCCAACTACCTGCAGTCAGGTGAATTCATTTGTTTGCCATGAGTCCGTAATTTTATTGTCTCACACATTGACTCAAAATTTCGTTTGTTTTAATTTGTATGTACCTTGAAAAAAAATTTCCTTTATATCGATCCAGTAAATTTCCACACATTTGGTTTTAAAGAAAATTAATTAAGCATGTATTTATTCAACTATATAATGAATTGAAATGTCACAATTCGCAATATGTCTATCGTTTATTTATTTGATTCCTAAAATTTTCTACACCATTCTATTAGTTATGATATATTTTTTTATATATATATTTTTCTTAAATTTTTAAGTTTTATAGGAATTCAATTATGTATTTAATTCAACCATTCATTTGTTACATATAATATTTCTAATGTCAAAGTAATTAAAATGAAATAAATTCAGGGCATACACATAATTTTCTCGGGTTCTCACACCAACTGTATCAATTCAGTCATGTTTTGATAACTAATGGCATCAGTGAGACAATCTTCTCTGACATGTTTCAGAAAAATTGTATTTACATTATTTGCCAATTGATTAAGAAAAATTTTCCTCAAAGTACTACAAAAGATGAAAGTCGGCAACTTTTGGCTCTTGTAATTAGGATCAGACGGAGTATAAAAGAAAGGTTAAGACTTGAAAGTAGATCGTATAATGGTTTGGAATAATTTGAGATAGCATTCTTTCAAAAAACTTGCTCCAGTATAGGGTTGGAAAGAAATAAAAATTTTGCCCCAGTTTAATTCTAACCAAATTTCTCTATTTTTCTTTTTTTGTTCTTTTTTATTCTCTTTTTTTTGTTCCTTTTTTTCTTTCTTTTCTTTTTCTTCTTTTTTTCAGAGAAATAAAATTGCCCCAGTATGGGGTTAGTGATCTTAAGGGGCTGTCAAGTGAAGGAGGATAAATTATTTTGAAAAGTCGAAAGGAAAAAACTAAGGATAAGATGTCTAAATGAAAGAAGGAAAGAAAGTCTACCTTAAACCCATCTCTTGCAGTAATTTGAGGAAAATTTTTCTTAATCAAATGAAAAGCTTTTTGCATATGTCTGCATTGATTGGTTGAGAAAAACTTATCTGTCCATTTCCATAAGGATAAGCGCTCCCCTAGGTAGCACTTTTTTAACCATGAATGGTCCTTACCAATTGGGGGCAAACTTTCCTTTAGCCTCTTCTTGCATCGGAAGAATTTGTTTCAAGACCTTATCTCCATCTTCAAATAAACAAGGTTTAACCTTTTGTTATAAGCACGAGCCATTCTTCATTGATAACATTGTCCATGACAGACGGCATTCAACCTCTCTTCATCAATTAGAGACAATTGCTCATGGCATTCTCTGACCCATTCAGCTTCTTCTATTTGAGCTTCCATCAGAATGTGTAAGGAAGGGATTTCAACTTCTACAGGCAATACTGCTTCTATTCCAAACATAAGAGTAAGGAGTTGCTCCAGTAGAAGTCCTGATCGTAGTTCTGTACGCCATCAATGCATAAAGCAGTTTCTCATACCAATCCCGGTGTGCTTCAGTCATCTTACGAATGATCTTCTTCAAATTCTTATTTGTAGCTTCCACGGCTCCATTCATCTGAGGCCTGTAAATGGCAGAATTTTGATGTCTGACCTTAAACTATTCATATAACTCATCCACCATGTTATTATTGAGGTTCTTGGTATTATCAGTGATCAATATTTCCAGTACGCCAAAACGATAGATGATATTATTTCTCAAAAAATCTGACACCACTTTCTTAGTCACATGCTTATAGGATGCGACCTCAACCCATTTAGTGAAATATTCAATCGCCACTAGAATGAATCGATGTCCATTTGAAGCAGGAGGATCAATAGCTCCAATCACATCCATTCTCCATATCGAACATGGCCACGGAGCAGTCATATTATGCAATTCTGTAGGAGGAGCGCATATAGCACTATGACATAATGTTGCAAGAAATGTTACTATTTGATGAAATATGTAAAATTATGCTACTTTTGGCTACTCCACATGCTTTGCAAGTGAAATCACCAACCATATCAACGAATACTACACAGTACTTTGGCTATTAGTGTTTCCATTGCGATTCAAACTTCAATCCACTAGGAGTTGGATCTTGTCCAACCAATAAAGGGGGAGGAAAAAAGAAAAAAGAAAAAAAAAGGCCAGGAACATTAAATAGGGAGATGGGGAGACAATCACTTAATTACAGAACACTGGGCATGTGATTTTGAGTGTTTTACGATTATACCCTCTCAGAGAATCACTGTGATATGAAGGCTGTCCTTTTAAGTAGAGGCCTCTTTCCTCTCGCTTTCCACTAGAACAGAGTACCCTTCCTCTAGCTACTAGCTAAGGCACCCTACTCCACCAGCAGAACAGGAGTACCCTGACAAAATCTCCATAGTAAGCCGAAAATACACAGTCATGCTCCATAGTAACCATGCATTTGACATTTAACACACTTTTTGACAAAATCTACATAGTCATGCTCCATTGTAAGCTGAAAATACCCTGTTCCCATGATCTTCTTAGCCAGTAAATACCCATTCATGTGTGATCCTGCTCGTGACAACTATCATGCAAGTCATCGACGTTAGGCTTCGGTTCCGTATCTTGATTAACATCAATGCTCTCACTTTCCGATATGTTCGATAGGAACGACATCGAGGGAATTTCCATTTGAGGAAATTCATCAAAGGAACAATTATTACGGAACATATATTTACTTCTACTATCCTCAAACCTTTGATTATACATCATTTTCTACAACTTGGCTTATCATGCAACATTCATTCATACTCCGATTGCACTACCATTTTTTGCTTTCACGTGCGGGAGTAGAAAGAATGTTGTTTGACTCCGTTTCAAAGCCAAATTAGACAAATGATATTTGTCCGGCATCGTGATCACTGTGGATATGGCGGCTTTGTGGCTCCACCTCCACATGTATCTCACATGTTGTATGTGGTGATATCAATTTCATATGATATAGCACGTCAATGTCATCTTTGCACCTCAATTGCATTTCGGCAAATGTACTTTGGCCAACATAATTTCTAAACCATAAATTCAACTTGAAAACATTCTGATGTAATTACATGTAAGTGTACGCTCTATCTACTAATTCATCATAGCTTATTCAATGTTTCACTAATATGACTTTTTTGCACCTTGAAAGGTCATATGCGAATGATCCTC